AGGACTATAGAATCAATAGACAAATCCAGATGTTTCTACATAGATTTTCTGGTATAATAAGAGGTAATTACACTTCCAGGTGCCAGCTTCTTGAGACTTTTGGAGCGAGCCAGCTCTTCCCAAACATATCAAGACCTACTCTGCAGCATTTGGACGAAGGAAACTGCTTTTATCCTCTGCACTCGGCGCCAAGTTGGGATCCTAGTTGCCATCGAACCCATTCAGGAACCGGGAACTTTTCCGTAGAAAGGCGGACGGTTTACTTCACTTTGTGCCAGCACAGTGAATCTATGCGCTGATTCATCTCTTACTGAATGGTGTGATCGTTGCGTCCGAGGGGCATACCTAGCTTGGACCTGACTGCTTCCAAAGACGCATACAACAAATTCGTGATATCATCTCGGTCGTGCGATCAAATGGGTCGTCTGAGCGGAAATACACCAGGCGGTGTCTTGAAAGCCATTATAGAAGAGCATGAATACCTAGATCGATTTGTAGGATTATTGAAGCGGCGGTTTGTACCCTTCTATAAATAGTTGCAAGCGCCTGAACTGAGGAAGTGGACAATAGGTTGAACTTGGACAAGCAATAGTGGGTTTTGCCACGTTGAGGGATGAAAGCCGATATATGACCGGTTGATACAGCATCGATGCACTTCAGGAACTCAACCAATCGGTCCAAGGGGAGTGGCCCGATTCTCAAGTGTGGTCACTTGTGGGGCCGATGATGGAATTCTTCTCAAATGGTGAGGGATAACTCGTGTCTATCATTTCTTTTTAATGTTGAGATTCATAACAGAGGTCGTCGCACGCCGCGAAGCCCACCAAATCATGCAGGCATATGTCGACGAGTTGCCCGTAGTACAACCTCCAGATGAGGTGCAGGAAGTACGTACTCAGCCGTATGAGAAGATAATTTCTAATTGATGACGTTGGTTACAGGATGGGGAGCGGATGAGCGAGCAATATAGAAAGCTTTCTGACGCCTACAAAAACTATGAACAGAGTCGCACAGAAGCAAGCACATCCTCTTCAGTCCTAGAGCTACAAGCGTGGCATGACAGTCAACCTCGTGCGGAATATCTCAGGACACTTGAACCGTCAAAAATCAGCACCTTCTTCCTTCCTGTTTCAAGTGCGTCTCAATACCATAAAAATAGATTATATATCCGACGCGAGTAGACAGAAAATATCGCCAATGCGTACTAAGACTCCAAGAAAAGACCGCGAAGGTGGTTAGCTGGCATAACAGCGATTTAATGGTCAGTATCTCCGTTTACTCATAGGACGTATTCTCATCTATCGCGACAAGAATCATCTGGAGGATCATCAACAGTATAGTGAGAATGTGCGAAGCTTCATACAGAAGTTGAGTACACATTATAGGTGCGCCTCATATCCTTAGCTTAAGAATCTAGCGGACGGGACTTTAGCGAAGTTGCGACAGCGTTAGTGGCGCAGGTTGGTCGTGTAAGGGAGCAAGCACATCGATTTTCTTCTTCCGACTTCATCTCAAAAGCTCACGAGCATCAGCGATTCGAAGCTGAACATCCCTCAATGGAACCGGTCACCTATATGGACTTCTTTACGGTGAAACCAAGTAGTACAGTTGTACTGGGGACCAAACGAGAAACTGAGGTGCTCACTCGTGCACTCAAGAGGATAGCTGATGGGAAAGTACCAGTAGAGGTACGTTTTACTAACTTTAAATTCCATTGATCGCTCACTCCAGATGATTGACTTGAATGATTAGAGTTCATCAGTTCCGGATCGGAAAGAAGCCTTAAGACTGGAGCGACGCTTCCAAGTAGACGAAAACTTTTATGACACGCTCAAAGAATTCTCTTACAATGAACTCCGTACAATCTCTTGTGTAAGTCCATTCTTGTACACTATGTATCTCTACCCTGATATTGACGTTACATAGTTTGTTCTGCTTAGTAGCCCACCTATCTTGCATCTCACCCGAGAGGAAGTTACTCGTGGCTCAAGTCAGTGAAACCATATCAGTCAAAATTGTCAGTTCTACTCACAACTCCGACAAATCAAATAGGGGGCATGCCCAGAGAAAGGATGCAACCGATTATGGACCGGGTGCCTCCAGAGTATAGGCGCTTGCTAGGTGATGTACTTATTGCGTATTGGAGTGAAGAGTCTACCAGATCCACTGGAGAAGCTTGTCTTCTGTTGACACATCGGCCAGAGGTACATATCTCTTTTAGCATACCCAATCATCAACTGAATTCCCTTGCAGGATGAAGTATTGCACATCCTTCGAGACATATATAATAAGTGGGACTTTGAGAACAATTGCGCTTTACACAAGGGAGTCAAAAGGATCTGGTATAGACCCTTGGGAAAGATCTGGCTTGTATGGGAAAGGTCCGGTCTACCATTCCAGCCGCCAAACTAGTCGCTACAGATCGGATTCCAGACAGTGGGATTGATATGGACACCAAATAATGTCAAGGATTAGTTCTGTATTGGGATTTTTATACTATGATCGTCGCCTTATCGAGTTCTATTGAATTGGTGTGATCAAAGGCTCCTTGTCGTATAGAGGAAAGATGAGATGTGCAGCACTCAAGTCAATGATTCAAAAACTTGAAATCTGGGCTATGAATCGACGGAGATATCTCCCAAATAATGATCCAAATGGATATGAAGACCATGCCAGGCTCGAGACTTTGGCCAACTAAAAATTGATGTATCTGGAGACTCAAGGGGTCAAATGACTTAGCTTGATTGGATATATATAAATGTTATTAGATCCTTTAATGTTTGTAGAAAGAATTGACGATTTTAGGACAAGGCCCAAGTCCAGCAAACAGGTGGTTCCATTGCAGAAGATGAAATGCTGCCAGTGATAGAGGAACAAATAGGGCAGACACAAGGCAAATTACGAATCTGTACAAAAACGACTAGTTTGGTTCCATTCTCTAATAATCTACTAGTCCTCCTCAAGTACTGTGAACTCAATTCCACGAGTTTGTGCCTTCTCCCACAGTTCTTCCACCTCTACATTGCCAATTATCGTATTATCACCTCTCCCACACCACCCACCTTCTTTTGTCAGTTTCAATCTCCATAGCCTTATTTCTATCATATTTTCACCGTCCAGGAGTGATGAAAGGGGACCAAGGGACCCGAGCTGCGCGGTGAGTAGCCGTAGGGGGTGACCACGTGGAAGTGGCTCAAAATAAGCTATCCATTGCTCGTCGAGCACAAGCTCTGCAAGCTTTGGAAACTCGTTCCATGGTGGGAAATGAATAGTAGCCACATCTCCTCTATCTTTAAATCCTCCTGCGACGAAGGACTGGAGAGTTTTTTGATAGCAAGACAATACATCCATGAGAGGAACGCGGCTGGGCAGCTCATAGATATGAAGAGCTAGGTATCGAAGAGATGGGAGAATAAGGTGAGAAGATGGAAACTCGAAGGTAGGCCGGTTCTTGTACCAAAGAACCTGAAGATTTGGAAGTAGAACCGGAGGTTTTCCTTGGTTTAAGGGGATGGGTGGGCGACGAGAATTATCGACCTCATAATCAAGCCAAGTCAGATTGGTGAATCCGTATAGCACATCGAGGAATACATTCAGGTCGAGATACTTCTGAATGGAGTGCATTCGCAGGCGGTGTATATGGGAAAATAAACTCCGAGAGAGTTCCATCACCTCCTTCCGGTCAAGTTTAATGATTTCCCCACCAACACCTTGGTCAAACTCTAGGCGAACAATGTCTTTATTGCAATAAGCAGTTATTCCGAGACGATGTGCTTTTGGTGCTTTAATTATGCCATGAAGTTGCTTTTCGGTGAAATCAAGATTGAGAATAGCATCGCGGTCGTTCCTTGACTGCGCAAAGGCTGCCCATGAGCGACACACAGATCTAATGAGCTTTATCTGGTTCTGTGCTCCGGAAATGCCATCGTCTTCGTATTTAAGCATCCACCAATGTGAATAAGCGACCCAATAAGAGCCCTCAAAGGTTGTAGCAAAGGCCCGATTTGCCCCCCACCCGAGTACTGCGTCAATGACTTCGTCCAGAATTTTCCACCAAATTTCTATCGGCGCTCGATCTACGGCAGATTCATTTGATCTATCAAGGAAATTACACTGGGATGAGGGTTGGATTTGATCACTAAGAGCTTTTGGTGACGAGGCTTTTTGACACAGGCGAGACAGGATAGGCGCCCGGCCAGATCCAGGAATCCTGTTGATGGTTTCCTGTATAAAGAGATGAATTCTGTTGATTCGCATTAGTGAAGATAATAGGGAAGAGCAAGGGTTCCACAATCCGTACTGGTCAAGATAAGATCAAATTCATTCTCCGACTGCCACATGGTTCAATATAGCCCAGATAGTTTATCTAGTGAATTATCCTCCTGAAACTAATACTCGCGACCAATTTTCTCATAACAAACATGTAGTCAAGGTATATTAGTATCAGAAGGAGGTTAACCTCCTCGAGCCTGCATATTATATTGGAGGGAGTAATGTAGTGCCCGAGGCCGTCTGCCGGGCGGAGTTGATGCCGACTAGCCTTAAGCTCCGACAGCCCCTGTACTATTTAACTAGTCTTAGTCAAATCCACCACTTACACCAGCTAAGGCTCATCGTTGCGCTGTGCCATACTCACCATCAAGGTCTCCAGCGCGACAAGTAATAGAGAGACTCATTTAGACGTTGCCGATGCCGCTATGGCTTCTTCTCTACTCTTAGGTTTTTCATTATAACTGGCGACTTTAAACGATATATTCCCCGCTCTAGTAGATTATCTACTTCTTCCTTGTTGATTATAATTTCTTCATACAACCTTGCCACGCTGCCATCATATCTCCAGTGTGCTCTTCGTAAGGTAACGTGTCGCATGTCCTTGCCTTCTATAAGTGACCGCAGAACGTCCACCGAGCCATAAGTTGCGTCTAATCTCCGTAAAGGGTGACCAAAAGGAAGATCCTGGAAATACGCGGTCCATTTGTTGTCAAGCACGAGCTCTTCTAGCTGGGGAAAATCGTTCCACGAAGAAAAGTGAACAATCGGGTGGTCGCCTCTCATTTGAATACTCTCGCAGCAAATGAACGGAGCGTTCGACGGTAGTAAGATAACAAATCATAACCCTACTACACATGATATCGGAATCAGGAAGGAAATATTATCCAGTGAACCAAATAAATCAGCTCTAAAAGGTCTAATTCTGTCAGGATTCACTCGGGTGCTAGCCCAGTCGTCGCCATTACAGTCTCTCTTTGTGAGAAGACCTCCCCATCCCAAGTTATCTTTAGCTTGATATCGCGAGCTACCGCGTGTGATAATATACGATCGATCGCCATTCTATCAGCCATCAGATCCTCGGTCTCTCCCATTAATCCACCATTACTCATCCAACGAGTTCTTTGCAAGATAAGTTCTCGCATATTATCACCCTCCAGGAGAGACGAAATCACATCAAATGATCCCATTTTCACGTCCAGTCTCCGTAAAGGATGATTTGATGGCAGTGGTTGGAAATGTACAGTCCATTGGCTATCCAATATGAGCTCCTCCAGACTGGGAAAATCGTTCCAAGATAGAAATTGAAGCACGGGCTTGTCCCCTCTCCGGTTGAACCCTCTGGCAGCGAACGAACGAAGCGTTTGGCAGTAATATGCTAACAAGTCCAATAAAGGAACGCGACTAGGTAATTCGTAGACGTGAATGAATAGGTACTGAAGAGATGGAAGTATAAGATGAAAGAAAGGAAATTCAAATCTAGGTTGAGCAGTGTACCAGAGGACCTGAAGGTGTGGAAGGACTACTGGCGACCTATTCTTGTCTATTGGAACAGATTCCCCACGTCGAGAAGAGGACAGGTAGCTTATCCACGTCAGATTGGGAAAGGTTGCCAATATATCCAGCAATGGGTTTAAGTTTAGTATCTTCCGAGGCTCGTAGTGGGTCATATGTAGCCGTCTCAGGCGTGGAAGACGAATACGAGCGAGTATTGATGCAACGGGCTGATCCAATTCAACCGCCAACCAGTTATATTCCTGCTCGAATATGACATGTTCGAGGCTGCGGTAGTAAGCTCGAGACAGACGAATACGATATGCCGTCAGAGCATTTTCGACCCCTCTGAGCGCTCCATCATTAGTTATCGCAACCTTTACATAGCGATATCTCCTTGATTGGGAGAAGTCTTGCCACGATCGGCAAACAGAACCAACGATCTTCCTCTGACGTTCGAAGCCATCAAGCCAGTCACGCTCAGATGAAGGCATATTCCAGTGAGAGTAGTGTACCCAATCTTCTCGTTGAATCGCAGTTGAGAAGAACAGAGGATACTCTCCATATATGGTTTCGTCAAGGATCTCCCACCAGATTTCTACCGGAGTTCGATGTACAGCTTCCTCGTGGTTTTCA